TGATGATCCTCACGCTCGTGGGCTCGCTGTTCGTGCGGTGGCCCGACATGCCGATCGACCCGCGGACGGTGGAGGGGGCGATGTATTACGTGTCCGGGTCGCGGGTGCTGAGGGGGAGGGTGGAGGGGGTGGCGAGGATGGGGGCCGCGGAAAGGGAGAAGAGGGTCATGGAGGCCGGGGGCAGGTATTTCTACGGGGATGTGGATGGTGGGGGGAGGCTTGGGGTTGAGGCTGACGAGTCTGGGCCGGGGGAGGGGGTGGAGGGTGGGTTTGGGGAGGGAAGGGATACCGCTTATAGGGGGGCCAACTTTTAGGGAGGGGGGTTAGGGTTCCTTGGGTAATAATTTGGAGGTAGGGAGGGTTCGTGGATTTGTGCAGTTTTTTGGATCACAGCATCTCTTATTTATTGGTTCGAACGTTACTATCATGAGTTTACGACCAGGAGGTATAGACAGGGACCGAATAGTAGTCTAGACATTCTATAGATGACCCTACCTATATACCAGGTTTACCAGAGAGCGGATATAAGACTGATACTAGGAGTTACACGAGGACGGGGATCTCGTCTCAAGTAAAGCCTACCAGTTATACATTGGGTTCCTGGATGAATTATATTAGGGAGGGATCAGCGACGAGTCCAGTTCCTGGAATGATGAGCGACAAAAGGAGTTTATTTCAATCGTGGCGGTAAGACTTTCAAGCTCGGATCATATCCAGCTTCACTTGTAGACATTGAAGAGCACCGGGCACACCAATCTCAGCATTACATGCTCATGTTCTTACTTGCTTAAAACCAAGCAAAATAAACGAAAGTGGGACAAAATGGAAGATATATCAGGAGTTGAGCAATAGATGGTGGGAATGGGAAGTACAATGACTGGAAGCGGAGAGATATTATATTAATCGAACTGAGAGTTTTAGAGTTGAACAGAGACGTGGCACAAGCGGGATTAACGAAGATCCGAGAGCTTGGGCTGAGGGCCGGGGAGAAGGGAAAAAGGGGCGGGTGAAAGGTGAGTGCCCACAGTGTTGGCGGTGGTCGCATGGAAAGCCCTCAGGTGGGTAGGCAGGCATTAATACATTGTATTTCGTATGCCTACGAAGTACAGACTGCGCTTCCCCGCGGGATTCCAGGTATTATTACCTACGGGCCACGGATTGTAGGGCTGATGATCCGTATGTGGAGTACAAGGTAATAACCATATGGGACAATGTACTCCTACCAATTCATATATGAGAGGCGAACTGGCAGACCCACTGACAGCGGCCCGGCCCCGCATTCCTGTCATTAGTCTGCACTTACACCACGCACGGCTGCAACGGATGCGTAACAAACCTCTTGAAGTTCCTCGATTCAAAATTCAAATTACAGAGAGAACACACGGTCGGAAATGTACTTGTATCACTGCCGAGGGAAACAAACTATAAGATAACCTAAGAAATGCGTGGTCTCCTTCCTTTATTTCCTCAGGCCATCCCTGCTTGCATCGCCCCCTTCTAGATTTTAGAGAAGGAATAAGGGGGGTAAGGGAAGGGAAACAGAAGAGAAAATAAGGGAAAATAAGAAAGAGAAAGAATAATGAAAGAGATAACAATAAGGAGAAGGAATAGCAAGAGCAAGAGCACTCCAGAGAACATCCGCGACCCTTGCCGAGCCTCCAGCGCTTGGGCCAGAGTCAAGATCATCTCCCCTACTTCACTAGCATCAGAGCTTCACTCGGATGGATATTCGAAGTTGGCATCCCATGGGTACTGCTGAGAGTTGGGTGGGAGGTTCGCGCCGTACAGAGAAGAATCTCATCGAGATCTTGGGCGGGGTGCGGTGGACCCACAGGCGAGGTGCGAAGTCGTTGACGAGATCCTGGGCGGGCTGTGGCGTACCCGCGGAAGGAGGTGCGGTGTTGTCGACCTCGAGCTCGACCCGGAGGGAGGAAGTGCTGGATAGGGTGGCTGCCAGGGGTAGAAAGTTGATTCCCTGGAATTGGACGGGGCAGTGGGCCGCTGTGTCGTCGATGTCCTTGGACCAAGCCCAGCAGGCACCACGGTGAAGTGCATGGTTGCCCGGCTGGGGATCATGGGGATTTAGACCACCAGGGACAGAAGCCGCATCGCCAGCAACATGGGCGGTATTGCTAGAGATAGGAGTGGGCTCCCTAGCTTTATGGATAGCATGTCCCATGGAAGGCGCGGCCTTCCCGATAGGAGCACGATGATCTTCGGTTGTGGAAGCAGAGTCCCAAGGACGAGGAGCAGCATTCCCAGCACGGCTAGCGGGCAGTCCAGGAGGAGAGGGAGGGAGGGACAGGGAAGTCTCGTCCGAGGGCGGATTCTTGTTCTTGGGGTCACCAACAGGCGTCATGATGGTTTGTTTCTCAATGAAGATATAAGTGGAGGGAAAGGGCATGCGACGATAATTGCGTCCAAGAAATAAGGGCTGCGAATGTCCGATGAGAGACTGGAGGACAACATTATTACCGCCGTCTAGTCAGGCAGGGGCCTAGAGAACTTTTATGTTCAAGTGCCTTGTCTATGTAAGGTTGGGAGGTGTGTTGAAATGATGAATCATGGCACAGCGAAAGAAAGAACAACGAATGGGTCTGCGCCATATCTAACCGAGTAGTACATAACCATATTGAACCACCCGGAGTGAAGGACTTCAAACTCAGCACCTGCGAGGTCTACACTACCTGAGTAATACGAATTATAACCTAGTTTTGAAGGTACCATAAACAACCATGACAGTAGGAGTCGTTGTCTTGCATTCCGATGGTACATGGCCAGGCGTCCACCATGCAGACGCATTTGCGTCAAGCAGGCGCATTTGCGTATTTTTGGTGAGAGAGGACTGCAATCCCGCCACTGGCAGGTCCTACAGATGCGACCGACTTAAACTTGCAGTGTAGGTGGAGCTTTTCTACGAGTAAATGCTTCCCCCTCTCCCCTTTTTTGGCCTCGCTCACCCTCCCGTTTTACCTTTCCCTGGATGCAGCCTTGCTATGTAGCGGTGAATTGGACAAGCAGAATCCCGCCCCTTATCCCTACTACATGGGACAAGTTCATATACTACATGGACAAGTTCATATACTACATGGACAAGTTCATATACTACATGGACAAGCTCATATTCTACATGGACAGTACATATAGTCTCTCGCTATTGCTGACGAGATTTGTAGGCCCACGCTCCTGGTTTGAAAACTAGTTAGATGAAGACTACTTTTGTTCCTGGGCGTGTGTGTACCCAGCCTTTTGGATCACTAGCTATGCTTATTCATCAACCAAACCCCAAGCAACAGTGACAACACTCCAGCTACCACCGCCCCGATCTGCCACTTAGAGCTATTACAGGGACGAAGATATCAACCAGTAAGGACACAGTATCTTGGCCTAAAGTGTAACAATTCAGAACTAGTGGTTAAGACTTGGGACTATAAGTAATACTTTAAAGAGGGGGATTTCACCCCCAAGCTTGGCAGTCGCTGTGTAAGTGCGCGCTCGCCACAGAGTTGAATGACCTATGCCCGTGCTCATACTCCCTGCGCTACGTCTGTATACCCAAAGGATGTCGTTGCTGTTAATTCAACAGTTCGAATACATACTCGTCTATCATATCGATGTCATTCTTGTGTTCTTTCGCTAGCATGAGGCTACTATATAAGCAATACTTCTTTTCAGGAGACTGGTTGGTAGATAAAACGCATTGGAATCACAGCGAGAATAAAAGATTGTCAAATAAACGGTGGCATTGGTTCAATGAATCTGTGTTGCCAGGAGCTTGATTATATAGAGAGCAAGGGGGATGTGCGAAGAGTAGGGAGGAGGGGGCAAGGGCCGGAGACGGGGAATGGAGCGAACAAGGTCACGCCACTCCGCCTGCAAGGTTGCATATTGAGGTCCCGGCTTCGAGGGCTTACAACGGTTGGATAGGGAGGTAGCGGTCTCTGTTCCGCGGTTTGGCCTAGGGCCGGCTGCTAGCGCCGGTCCCGGCCGGGGTAGTAGTAGCCGCACCCCCTCCCCCGCCTAGCCACTTGACATAGCCCCATACCGAACGATTCTTAACCCATACAAGGGAGCGGGGAGGACCTCATCTCGAAATGAGATGCGGTCGGATGTGCTTACCTATGGCCCGCGGTTCAGGATATCCCGCCTCGGTGGAAGCAGGGACCTCCGTTCATACAGCTGGTACCGCAGGTTGGGTTGGGCCGTCGGGATGGGGGCACGAATAGCCTGGGTAAGTATACGGGGTAATAATATAAGCTGCTGACAAAGGAAAACGAGGACGAAGAAGGAGCCATATAATCAGCAGAAACTGCGAGTCACAGCTGCAGGGTCGACTGGTGAGCCGTAGTCCTCATCTTTCATTAGGGTGTCATCCAAGATGACAGACACAGAGCCCGAGTCACTGTTAACAAATATATATACGGCAAGGACACTACGGACGGAATCTCGGTGGTATATCAGCAGGCACGATCCGTATGTCAAGGAGCGGGATATACCCGAAGCCGAAGTCGCTAGTTGGGTCCGTTTATAAGCTTGGAAGGATTTGATTACCGATATCTCTCTATTGTGACTACCCGGAGATAACGTCGTTGTTGTCCGGACTGTGGATAATATATGTGCCTAACTGCTGATCTCGCTTGGCCTTCCCGGCGTAGCCCGTTCTATCTCTGGGGCCGCATCGCCAGCTTCTAAGGCCATCACTAACATGTTCTTATGGAACAAGTTGGAACTCGCTTCTTGGAAGAAGAGAGCTACGGAACATACAACACCTATGACTCGTCTTCCTGCCTCCCATTACCCCAGTTGCCTCCTTCCTTCTCTTGTTTCTACTCATTGCAGACGAAAACGTAGCCACCCGCCGGAGGACGCACCACCCTCGCGCCTTCCCCATCCGCCAGACACCGCCCACCACAGCCTAGGAAGGAGCGAAACAAACAGACCACACGGTACCCTTATGTTTGAGCTCTTCCCGACAGGTAGGTAACCTACGGAGCAGGGAATCCGGTGTCGTCTAGGGGTTTAGGATGCGGCGTTTTCACCGCCGAGACCTGGGTTCGAACCCCAGCATCGGAGACTTTTTTTTCTTTTTGGGTTATTTTCTTCGACGTGCACCACCCTGATAGCTTCCCTTCTCTTTTAAGCCGGACGGAGAATCGTTTAATCTGTTCATTGCTTCTATACGACCGTCCGTGGTTGAAATGGTTTGGCTTGGCCGCCTCGGAGGTCACGGCTCATCGGTCGAGGGTGGGCGGATGCATAAGGCAACCCGACTCGAAGTACCCTTTACCCAAGTTATGGTGCTCCATAGGATCTAGAAGTACGCGATTCTCGGTGTTCCATTACGGGGATGCGTATGAACATGATCCTCTTCACCGATGATGAGGCTCGTCTAGACTTGGGCAGAGCGGCCGCACGAGGCTGGTGAAGTGAGGACGCCGTGGCTGGAGACATGTTTCGCCTACAGGATATGTTGACCGGGATGGTGCTTCGACTATTAACGTTTGACGGACGCATGAAGGGTCCTTTGCATCTTGTGGCGTATGCACCCCCGGACCTGCCGCGGATTCGTGGTGTTCGTGGGGTGGTGTATGCAGTAGGAGGAGAGTGGTGTCTCGATATCATGGTGTTTGATGGGAAGAGGGTGAATATAGACCGCCGCTCGACCTTGTATCTAAGAGAAGGCTCCAGTTGCTCCTACTCTGGCTGTTGCGGACTACGGCGCAATGGTCTCCTAGAGGAGCTAGAGAGAGATGCTCGGTATGCAGCCTCCAAACATGGGTTTGACACATGTCACGGGGTAAGGCACATATATATTCGGGTCCTGGTCGAAGTTCTACGCTCTCTCACCTTCTGGCGATCCCATAGAGTAGATATATCTTGGACTTCCGTGTCGCTTTGAACACCAGTATGGCCTAGCTTGAATGGTGGCCTTGAGAGTGTGACTTCTGGTTTTCTCTCTACCCAGTCAGGGTGACGATGTGACTGCCAGTTCTTTCCTCTGTTGTGCACCAAGGGCTCGACTTCCCAATGACGGGCCTCCTTGACATCTCAGCTCGAGCGAAGAGATCGCGGTGGCATCGCTAGTCATCATGCACTCCGACGGCGGTAGAGTGAGAGGGTGGCTTACACGGAGAGGGGCTAGTCTTGCGTGCCCTCCATACTGCGAATACGGCCCCATGCAACGAATCAGTGCTTCAAGGGCAACCTGTCATTTGGGGGGCATCGGCAAATATTCGAACCCGGAAGTCCCTCCTCTACGTCACAAGTGGATGCTCTTCAACTCAAACGACAGATATCTACCACATCTGCAGTGGTATCAGCATAGGCATGTTACATTCCTGTTATTCGGGATCCAAAGCCTCAAAGCCCGCCAAACGACTCGAGACCCAAAAAAATACACCCTCGGCCTTAGTTACCCCTCTTCTCATATGCACGCAATTCCGCCGAAATCCCAAGGCCTAATATTCGCAAAGGGAAAGAGGAGCGAAGGGGGATCGAGAGCGAAACGCTCGGTGCATATGTGCATCCGTGCTCGATGCGGGTTGTGGGGACGTGCGCGGCGCGCGGGGCATCTTAGCACAGTTACTAATACTTGGCTATTTTGTCCAACCTCGAAACTCAGAACTAATACTTCGTACTCCAAGTGTGAACGGGGTTGTGCTCAAGGGTTTCTCCGCTTTCCGAGACTTTCCGCTGGGATACTTTGTGATTCTTGGTAGGACAAGAATCTTGGCGGACAAGGGGGGTCGGGTTGGGGCCGAAGAAAAAAATTCAAAAGCTGAGTTCGCGTAGCGAGGCGGTGGACTAGGTTAAGATCGGGATATTGTCATCTCTCTACTAGTAGAGTACGGGAAGTTGGGAGGCGACGCTGCTAGAGCAGAGAATGTGGGGAGGGGATATTACATGTGCAACGACGTTGCATTTAGATCGACCCGGCGGTGGCTCTGGCTCTGTGCGATGATGTACTTACGCTTGCCATCCCCACTTGACAACCCAGATCTTAGGGATCGCTTTCACGATGTGGGGATCTTATCTTACAAAGTGAGGACCCTCAAACTCGGCCCCTTGTGACGAGCAGCCGTCGTCGTTCGGCGGCCTACCGGATCTGATCAACAGCATGCGTGGGTACGCACTGTGACAGGCATTCGGGCCGGGCGGCAATACGTAATGGTCGTCCCACCGTAAAGTGCGTACTTGAACGAGTAAGACAGGATGACAGGGTAGTCTGGGGAAAGGGGGAAGGGGAGGACGGCATATGTGTGTCCTGCTGGAAAAAGGAAAGCCTTTTGAGGGCTTGAGATGGCTCCGAGATCTGTTGCGCCAAGGGCTTGCTTTTTACGCCCTTCCCGGCGGCCGGGATATACCTGTGCTCACTCATATAATTGGGAGATATATCATACGGGGTGATACAGGTACGGAATAATTACTTTAGGAGGACCAGACGAGATGCTACTGTGTCTCGGTGTGATTGGAATTTGGCGGGTGATGAGTTTTTTCTCTCTCTCTCTCGTTCGTCTGGGATATGGGGATACCCGAGGTGACCGAAGCAGGGGGTTTACGCACACCAAGTGAACGCCCCCCCGCGGAGGCGTTGCGTTCTTCCTCCCCCTTGCACCTCGAGCCTGTCAGCGGGGGTTTTCGCGAGCAGGGGTGGTAGTGTCATTCGCTCGTTTGTTCCTCCTCGGGTGCGCCACAAATTTCGGTGATCGGAATGTGATGGCCCTTTGCCATGTGCCTCATCGCCGAGGGGTTGAAGCCACCGGAAAAATCCATAGGAGGTGCCGGGGGGAGGATTCGATTTATTACGGCGTTGGGAAAAGAAAAAAAAAAGCCGTTGATGGAAAACCTTGCCTTTTCTTCTCCGCCGGCGGGCGGGCGGCCTTACCTCTTCTCTCCCGGAGACGGGCCGGGGCTGCTTACTTCCGGAGGTGCGATGGGCGGAGGACGGAACGGAATGTACGAACGTACTGTGAGAGGGGCGCTGGCGGAGGACAAGAGGTGGGGGAGGGACAGGTTGTGTGGCGCATGTGACCGCCAGTACTTCGGCCGCAGCGGGCAGGATATGCTTGGCCTCGGGCACACGGGCGGCGAAACACCCAAGTAACTATAGACAGTACGAGAACGAGGATCCATGTCTGAACTTTCGTACATGAGAGCAGAATGGCGAAGTGTGCTAGTGTGGGGGCTTTTCGGACTGTGATAGTGTGCCGTGCCTGCTGTGCTACCTCAAGAGCTCGAGCTTAAGCTCGCACGGGGACCCTTTGGCCTCCTCTTCAGCATGGCGCCCGTCCGAGAGCCAAGAGGTCCGTGGTGCGGGACGATGTGAATAGACGAAGAGTTCATGCAAGAAGAAACCGAATCCTGCGCGCCCGTGTCCCTCAACGCCGCAGGTGACGACGGGAGCAAGTTAAACACATATTACTTTGTTTCTAGAGTAGAATCGAGTAGAATCTCGGGTTGACCGACGAGTGTGCGTGCGCGAAACACTAGTACTCGTGCAATTAAGGAAAAAAAAAAAAGAAATCGACCTGATCCGAGCGGAGATTGCGGCTGTAACGAAAAGGTATTGGCAGCACGCTTTTTGCCATCTTGTTAGCCTCACGAACGTTCCCCAATACGAACATCATATTAGTACGGGTATTATTCAAGTGCCCAATAATTGCCGTGAGCTCCGAATATTACCGCTCTCGCATTACCAGGTCCATCCTCGCTTGTCGGCTTGTCAGTTCTGTCAGGTGCATCCATGTCAATCCGCCAGCGGATACTTTTAATATTAGGTCTGCACGTCAGCTCAAAACAAGAGTCCCCCTAAGAAGCTTACTTTCGTCATCTAACTAATAACCCCCGTCGTCCCTTACTAGTAGTACTGTAGCTCAGACCGGCAGCGCTAACGGGTGCGGCGGGAGCGCCGAGAGAGAGAAAGCACTAATAACTACTCGTATGTATGTCGTACTTGCAACGTACGTCCCTGCGTCGCTTCGACTTACAAGCACCACGCCCGTAATATAATATGCACCCCACAAAAAAAGCTGGCCAAGCTCTTTTTTCACTAGCCTTTGCCCCCGTCTTAATACCAGGTACTCGTACTAACATGACGCGCTGAGGACGGTTGACCTGAAGAGAAGGGCTATTGGCACGCTAATCCGCGCTCGCAATTTCCCTTTTTTACCAGGTATTAAAAACCAGAGCACGATCTACACTATGGTTACGTGCAAGTCTGGGGAGGAGCGTCCGACTCACCGTCCCTGCTGGATCGGGAGCGCCACTCGCGATTTCGGCTCCTCGCTTCGCCCTCGCGTGGTGAAAGTCCTCCCACCGATCTGGTCCTGCGGGGTATTATTAACTGCAGTGTGGCCTACCAGTATTACCACGATCGGGACGTTGGAGATCTTGTCATCTGGGTTGCTGTTATACTCGCTAGATTTCAAACTCAGGGCTGTCCGTGTTTCGGAACCAAGCGTACTAGGTAATACTCTAACCTATCTACGCGAGTATACTAGTACGCACTATTTACGAGCCCTTGTGTCATGTATCGTCGCCCTCGTATCTCGACCTATGCCAGCCGTGGTACTGGCGGCTCTCGCCCCGAACAATTGCCATCGGAACTCGTCTCCACGTGGCCTGTCCTGTCCTTGAACGCTATCTCGCGACCTTCTCCACATTTACCGCGGACTACAGGTACATAGTACGAGAATAGTCAGGGGAGATGACTGAGCGACCCTCCTGATATTGGCACTAGCAGGGAGCTACCCACTTGTACTTGTACATCATGCCTTTACCCATCCCTAACGGAGTGAAGCGGATCGACGTCCCACCCCACATGAGCGTTCGTTGTTTGCCAGGATCGACTGTTTAGAGACGAAAGCTGAGGCTGACGATGTTGAAACCCGGTTGAGGGCCGAATTAATAATTCTCGCCAATACTCGCTCGTCCTCGTGACAGCTTGCTCCCCATCAGCGCTCCGCTTGCCTGTGGGCAGCTTGACGAGAACCTCGCAGGGACAGGCCTGCCTCGTTGAAGGATTGCAACAAAATTATCTAGGGTCCTCCCATGGCCTCATTACGACCTTGGCG